TAGTTTCTTTAAATTCATCATTGTTTTTTTGGCGATTCTTATGATTTTGTAACATTCCAAAATCCTTAATCAAAAATTTGCCAACGAAATTAATCCAATGAGAAATAATTTTTTAAAATTTAGGATTTAGCTATTGATATATGCATAGAAGTCATTAAAAACGTGGGTAACGAAAAAGGTTTATCCTTTGCTACTCCAAGCTTCTTTAGGTTGGCTCTAGTACATGTGAATTATGGGTCCTTTAATTGGATAAGCAATAGTTCTTATGTCATCTTCCCAATTGTACTACGCTATCTTTTCATATAAAGCACATTTCTGCTAAACTTCTTTTTCATTTAGAATCTGTTCATGTTCTAAAAAAAATCTCATTATGCTTGTGGTGTTTGCAGAACTTTTCCTCCTCCATATGGTTCTCATTAGCCACGCAAAACTCTTTGATCATGCTCTTCTACAATGACTGTATATTTAGGAATTTATTTTTGTAAGAGAATTCTTTTTCTACCACGCTCTTCCACCTTTTAGAAGTTTAACGATAAAAAAGTTAATTTTTTAGAACAATAATCATATACCTTTTTTAGTGGATGTTATCAATGAAGGTATAAATATGGTTAAGTGACTTAATAAGGTATGGCCATATGAACGTCCCATATGCCAATTTTATAAGCTTCATTTTTGGAATTTTGTAGGTTCTTTTCCTCTTTTTAAAAACGCAAACATTATACTTTCCCAAGTTACCATGCTCATAAAAATCAAAATCCAATATATCAAATTTAAATGTTGAATCCTCGTACTTCTCTTACCATGCTCGTAACTTGATTGCCCATGCGTATGAATGTTCGAGTATGTTGTTTTTTCTTGTTGTTCTTAATTCCATAAGTAATTATTAGTCTAGCAATTTTCTTGCCATTTGTTTATCACCAGGGTTACTCTCGATTACCTTTTCAAGTGAAATATTATTAAAGAAGACTTACTTCCTTTCTTTCATTCAGGTTATAAATGGAGATCATCCTCTCTAAGCCTAAAATGTTAATTTTGTGAAGATTCGCATTTGTTTTTATTGGTGGTTTTGTTTAATTAAAGATTATTGATTCCTATAATTATTTTTTCAGTTTCCTGTAGAAGTAAGGAGGGCATAGAGGTTGTTTGGTTTGATTAAAAATAACATAAAGTATTTCATGCAAGGGGTTTTAATAATTTTTAATGTTGGTGTTGATGAAAAAGGAAATGCAGAATAAAATTTGGGCGAATCTAAATTCACTCCGTAGTTTTATTATTTTTTAATATTCAAAACTCACAGCATTTTTTGTTGTAATTCCAACACGAATTATTAAGATGGCTTCACTTTTCCACAAGCCGCCATTGCTGCTACAGGCACTGCTGGCTACCGCCAACTGCTGCTGAGCACCATCGGTTCCCCATATGGTTCGCCGTCTCGCTTGCCACTTTGCCGCTCGCTGTTGACCGTAGCCAGCAGCTCACAGTCTGTTGCTTTCCGTTTTGCCATTGTTGCCTTCACCATTTTCGCAGTCATTGCCCACCACTTTGTTTTTGGCTTTATATACATTCATTGTACTTCAAATCAAACAAAAATAAGGAATCACTGCATTTGTTATACAACTCACTTGCAAATAATTCAAATATTTCAAATATAATTAATTTCTTTCAACACTCATCCATTTACTATGTATTTTTTTTCACAAAACAAACATATCACGTGATCTCTTAATATGTGGCTGGAGGGAAATTGTCTCTCTAGTTTAGGGATCAGCGGGCTCCAGTGGGATTATGAGCATTGGAAATTAAATTCGTTCCTAAATGCACTTTTTTGTTGATGCATTAGCTGATAAAATGTTTAGATTTCATTTTTTTTAATTCATGGATGTGATTGTTATCACAATGGGTTTTGAAACTATACAGAAAACCTTTCCTGTGTATAATGATATTCTTGCAAAATAAGTCAAAGGATAATCTCAAAGATTAACTGTAGCTCCTCGATTCTCCAAAGGCCCAAAGGCCCTCATTCATTCAAACTTTGTTACATGTTTTTCATTAATTTTCTATTGACTTTGACTTTTTGCGCAAGCTACTTATATTGATGTAATGTTCCACGTAATGATTTTTTTATTACCTTCTTTGGCTTTCTATCATTCTTTTGTCCCTTTTCAGTATTGAATTTTTTCTTAGTGAGAACGGCAGCCACACATATAAAAAGCTGGCAATGGCATATAAAACAGTCCTGCAATTTCTTGAGCATTCTGATGAGCCATGTAGAGCTCATTCTTATAAAGCTTCTGAGTCTATTATCAGAATAAAATGGGGGCAATTTACTCTTGAAGAGTTCAGGGGCTTCAGGAAAACTTTCATTTCTCAAAGAGAAATATTACTGAATGCTCAATGCCAGCTTGGTTGAAAAACTGATATTGCTTGTATTCTTTCAAACCTTCAGTTTCCGGACAGTGGAGGTGATAAACATCTAGGTCCGATCTTCTGACATGGTCAGCCAGTCAGGTTAAGATGCAGAATTCCAATTCTCTTGGAAAAAACTCAAGGAAGCTAGAAACATGAAAGAAGGTCTTCTCGGTCTCCTTCTACACCTATGCCAAGGAATCATACCCAAAAATAATATCCCTAAATTCAAGAAACTCACTTCATGGCCATTTTCCTGGACAACTCATAACCATTTCAAGGTACAGAGCAAACGTCTATTGGAGCTCTTGTTTGATAGTACCTATCTGAATCAGCTAGCCTTTCGATCTGCAAGTAGGAGACTCAGGAACTTCAAGCTCCTACTCGCGGCTGCTTCGCTCATTTGTCTTGCTTTGTGGCAAAGCCTCTATGGTTCCTTACCCAATGCCCGTTTTCATAGTGTGGTGTGCACTGACGTGGTAGTTTCTTTCTGTCTCTGCGAAGCAAATGCAATCCAAGAGCTGATGATTCTGATGGATGATGAAAACGTTGACGTGCAGTTAGCCAGTGTTGAAGCGCTTTTAACACTTAATTCCCAACATCAGACTTCTGAAAAAGCCCGGCTGAAAAAGCTAAAGGAGCTATGGCCTTTCAAGGAGGCAATTCTTCTTTTTCAAAGGACTTGCTCCGGAGAGCTTAGGAAAAGAGTGGCGTTTGATTTGACAGATTTTTGCAA